AATCTAATAAAAATTTTAAACATAATTCTACAATGCGTGACTTCAAATTAAAACATGTTCATTCAATATTTTGGAACTTTTCAGTAATTTTACTCGGGCTTTTATGTAGTAGGAACATTTTTGTTCCGTACTTGGCCAAGATCCAAATTATCCGTTTGCTCATCAGTAGTTCCTCGTTTTTATTGGAATCTGCTAGAAAGTTGAATTTTGGCCATTCTGGTGAATGGTAATCCTAGTCAATAGCAATTTAATCTATCTTTTTGATATGTGTGAATAATCAAAATACGCAAATCCAGTTTTGTGATAAAGTCATAAACTGCACTGTCTCATAACATCAATTGTTTTGTATCTAAGGATAGTTAATCGTGCTAGCTTTAGAAACGTTTCATTTCAAGAACTGGTAAAATCATATTTCGCCCATTATAACAAAAATAAAATATAGATAGCACCGATATAGCGTCCGGGTGTATGATAATACACGTGGACGTCAACCTTCTCCATTATCCTGAACAAGAACTTGATGGGTTTTGAAAGCTCTTTTATCCTAGACATGTCAATCGGTATATGTATATTTTACACACATGTGAATATGATATACACCTTTATATAATATACATATATTTTAAGCTAAGGGAAGCCCGGTAAACGAATCGATATATTTACACGTAATACATAACGTTTGCATCGTCTTTCATATGGTAGTTTATTCTAGGTTCATGAAACATGCTTTGAACGTGTAGATTCAGTCTTATAGCATAATGAAGATGTTATCCTCCATTATACAGATTTTCAATACAACAATGTTATTTTAATAATTTACCTATACCAAAAGATGCATTGCTGTTTATTTACTAAAATATGAAAATAAGTGAAATATTTTTTGCATCCGTTCTACATCATTAAAATAAAGGCGTTTACATCAATTAAAATATATTTTCACCATCGCATCATTCATTAAAATTATATCCGAATAAATTATAAACCATACTCTGAATTTCAAACTGAATTCATTTGAGCAGCAAAATTGAATACTGCAAGAAATAAAAAAGACAGAGCAATATTTGCATAAGCATTAATAATATTTCTATTTTCTTCTCAAATATCAGCATAATATAGTGAATAGTAATTTTTAATTAATTTTTGGATTGCGCGACAATTTTCTCATTTTTTTTAAACAAATTGGTATACCTCGAATTTTAAATATCTTTAACTGAACATAAAAACAAAAATCATGATGAATCTAAGCGTCTAATTTATTAATCGTTAGTATACTAGACATTTTATATTAAAATCTGAAATAAAGTAGGTGTACGCATTTTGCTTCAAGTAAATTTGCATAAACTTAAAGATACAAGAAAATAATGGACTTTATCAATAAGAATAGAGATATAGCTTTTTAGATGAAAATAAAAACGGTTTATTTAAAAAATTAAATTTTCACTTTTGCTAAAAACTACTCAGCACAATCTCTAATTGATATTTTTCACAAATACAAGATCTGAGAATAGCTGAAAAGATAATAATATTTATACACAAATTGGCACTTGTATGTCTTAAAAGGGCGCGACCATTTATTCCAAACTTCAATGATTCTTCAATTTAAACACTTTTCATGGAATTTTAATATTTAAGAATGTTTGTTTAGATCTTTTACAAAAACAAATCAGCACAATCCACAGTTTTTAAATTTTCAAAATCATTTCACGATTTTTGGGACAAACTCTACGAAAATGTTTACACTTTTTTGTTAATTCCACCGAAATGTTAATAGTGTTAAAATGTGAATAGTTTGTAAGTTATAATTACTTATATATAGTTTGTAAAAAATCATAGTTTGATGTTTATCGATGTTCAATTCAACAGAAAACTTTTTCAAAACAAATAAAATCTAAATCATAATAGGATATGCTATAACGTAGGTATTCTATACAAAGAAAACGTAGATGAAAAGCTTTCTATACATAGTAAAATATAAGAGCTTATGAATAAAAGCACATATTTGATCGCCGAGCTTTTGGGGATACTCCACAAAATTTTCCATTTTCCCCAGTTCCATTTCTGTATTTCCCTAGTCTGCGTTTTAACTCTTTCAGAATAATGGATTTTATATGCATGTCTATCTGGTCTTTTTTAATGAGTAGAAAAGATTCGTTTTCATTCGCGGCTTCTATTTCAAATGCAATTGTAGTAATAATATATTCACCAGTCCATGTAAATTATATTCTATTCAACACTTACCGTATAAATTAAATCTGACTTATATAAAGATTGCGAGAACGAAGAAATTGTATTAAATGTGGTGAAATATTCACGGTTTTCCTCTTATGTATGCAAGACTGGTAGTTTTATGCAATAAGAAAAAGTAGATAGAGATTCAAATTATAAGTATATTCATAAAGGATATTTTAATGGATATTGCAGGTTATATATATATATATATATATATATATATATATATATAAATATATTTACGCGCACTCTTTTATATAAAAGTACCCAAGATCTATTACAATACATCAAAGAACTTCAATCTAATTATTACCTATCTAATCATACCGTACGATACCTAAGACCATCAGTTCCTACATTTATATATATAAATCTATTACCGCTTCATCATTATTTGCTATTAACCTATTATATATAAGACCCTACATATCTTTTTATCCCTTACAAACCTTACATACTACCATTTATTTTACTTTTATCTATTATCTATTGTCTCTACTCTATACTATATTTTTTACTCTTATCTATTATCTAATGTCTCTATCCTATTCTCTATTGTCTATCGCCCACACCGGAAATTGAACCCGGGACCACCGCGTGGCAGTGGAGCACTACTCTTGGTTGACCACTACTCTATTGGATGTTTAATAAGTTTCACTTCAATCGCGTGTGAACCTTACGCGCACTCTTATTTTATTTTTGTTTAAAATTAACCATATATATTATAATACTGATGACCGTTTTGACTAATTGACTAGTGGTGCACGACATCGTGCCTTAAGGCAAATTGTTGAAACTTTCCGTGCTGTAACTTAAATGCTTTGAAAGCTCTAAAAAAACTGAAAACTTTGAAAGAAATTGACATTTTAAATTGAAATATTTTTTATGTTTTGAATTTTTTTGAAACTTCGAAGTTTTTTTTAGCTGCTTAGTGACAAAATATCCGTTGCAGTCTAACGGTTATAGATTGGTAAGGAACGTATAGAAATATAAACAAAAATTGTACTGATTATTAAAAGTTTTCTAAAATATCTGATAAATGATGTGATATGTCTAATGATCATTATATATATATATATATATATATATATATATATAAACAAGCTGAAATACACAATTTACGCCAGAACTATACCTTAACCGAACAACGAACATTTTGATATTCCCTTTTGAGGGAATTCACTTTGGCATCTCCTGTGTTAAACATCGTTCGTTATCGAGATCTTGTCGCACAATTTAGTTTGCTCATTATATGGTGTGTAGAACTCATGAAGAGAGGTTTAGCAAAGTTTCTTTATATATATATATATATATATATATATATATTTATATATATATATATATGTGTGTGTGTGTGTGTGTGAAATTGAACGCGATATTTAATTTATGTTTTTGTTATTCTGGTAAATTATACATTATTTTAATATTATTTTGCCTTTTGTCTGATTTAATTTAGATTTTCATCACACAGATTGATTCACAAATTTGCTAATGCATTACTAGCTTTGATTTAACTCATCCTCACTGAATTGAATAAAGACAATGAGGTAAAAAAAATGTACAACTAATAGTAACCCTTAAACCGTTGCAAAAAGTAAATAAATAATCATAACATTTAATATACAAGGCATATAATATGTCATCCTCATAAAATATACATAATTTAATGTGCATCATATGGCTTCTAGATGTCTCAACAAAAACTATTATCTTTTTTTTAAATATAGAGAAATCATATATTTCAAAAAAAGCAGACTGAGTATGTAGGGGTTACATTCATTCGTGAATAGTTTCAATTAAATTTTTAGGTTTGCTGACGTATTTAAAATGTAAAATACCTTTTGTCATATGATAATAGACAATTCAGCTGCTAATTGGTAAAAAAAGAGCGTTTTGATCATTTGAAGTTCATTCTATTGAAGAATAAAAAATCATATCGAAATTGTTTGTCATAATTTTCATTTTAATTTCTGTAAAAGTGAAAAGACGTCTTGAGCTCACAAAAAGTGATGTGCTATTTATAAAAACGTTGTCCTAAAAGACGGCAAGGTCAAGATTAGTTTATGAAATTTAGCTCTAGTGAATTCTCACTCAAAGGTGAAAAACGCTCAGGTCGCCCAGTGTCGAGAAGAACTGCTAACAAAGTTGAAGTTAATTGCAAAGAAAATGATTAGTTTTACTCTACTGACCCAAACAAACGATCAATTCTAATGTCTACATTGAATAAGTAAGAAGTGATGGATGCGTCCTGAAGTGATAAATTTTATAGTAGTTTATTCTAGTTATTGTGTTGTGAGAGAGTTGTATTATTGTGTTGTGAGCGATTGAAGTTGCATATTCAGAAAACAGTGCTGTTTTAGATTCTCAATGCCTGATTTGATATTCTCTTTTCTTAATTATTATACATGTCTGTTTGTGATGATTAGTGATATATTCCATATATGTCCTGTTTATATTTCGTTCGCCCGCTACCCAAGATTTGAGAACGTCCAGGTGCGCATGCCGTCGCCGCGACTCGTGCGTTCCACCTAGTTTCATCAACACATACACTTGTCTTCATACAGCGCATCGGCGAAGACCGCGTGACCGCACTTTGTTTTCCGTTGTCACAAGACAACGCCGATTACAGTGTTTTTTACTCTAATTAATATATTAGACAGTTATTTCTCACCGGATCACATTTTTTTAAGTAGTAGTAAAAAGTGAATGTTTGGTTTGAAATTTGTGATTTAAGTAAATATATAGTTTACAAGGATTTTATTCGAGTTATTCCGTTGGATGACGTAGTGTTTTAATACACTAGGATAACAGATTTGAACTTTTTTTGAAAAATTTTGGTAAGTGAATTTATTATTTAAAATTTATACAGAGAGTTCTTAGCTTTACATTTCACTTTGGCTTGTTATTGATGGGTTCTAATATTAAATAAAATAAGCAAAAATATATTACGAAAAAAAATTACTAATTACAATTTATTAATACAAATTATATAATATATATATATATATATATAAATAGCAGAATTTTAAAATTTATGAAACTAAAAATAAAGCTAATAGTGCAAAAAATAATTACTGTTTTCTGGTCACTCGTATATGCAAAAGATAATTATGCACATGAGTTCTGTAATGTGGATAGAGAATTGTCACTTTTCTATAATTATTTCAGAATGTGTATACATAAATTAATTAAAATTTTTAGTGCAGTTTTGTATCACATACATATTTCATGTTATCAATTAGTCGATTAAAAACGATGAAACAAGATCTTGTTTACTTTTTAAATATTGTTTTTAAATAATACAATATAGGGCTGAGTAGGGCTTAAAAGTACATCACCAATATCTCGAGAAAAATAAAGTTAAGAAGTTTTTAAAAGAATATATTAAAGTAGAGAGAAAAGGATGTGTAACCAGTCATTGCCTTAATCTAGAAAGCTTGATATCTGGAGATAAAAAATCTTGTTTGAAAATTTATAACAAAAGTACTTTCGTCGTTAGTTTTTTTGGTTGTGAGCACTTTTTGTATTTAACGAGACCTTAATATAATTTTTAAGTGTATGTTATTCAATTGTTTCATAAAATCTATTGTTAATTTTAAGTTAGATACTATAGATGTTTTTATTTAACCTCTATAAAAGCTTCATTGTGGATGGGTTAAAAATGTCCAACTGAACTTCTGCCTTAACAAAGGTGTAACTAAACTAAAAAATAGTAAATAAGAATGTAAATTCAGATAAAAAATAATTTCACAAGAAACAAATAAAATTAATTGTTATTCCAACTCTGCTGATAAATATTTCTGACGAAATAAAAGATCAAGGTTTCATACAGTTATCTTTGTAATAAAATTTATATTTTTAATTAATTAAATATTGTACCTGCTATTCCGTTAAATTCTTTTAATATTAAAAATAAAACATTGAATCTCCTTACCTCCAATGCCAATTAAATTTAAATGATAATATACAAGCTATTTGAATATTATTTCACTGTACTATTTCCGTATAGTAATATAGTAATATCTATGAGAAATAAAATGCATTTTCACGCATAATATGCCTCCTCTGTATAATCTTTCCATATATTGCGTCAAAAGTGTTATTCACGTGACACTCAAACAATGAATATAAATAAATTTAATGTGTGAAGCTAGCACATATTTGAACGAGTGCTGATTACATAATCTAATTTAAAATAAGTACATTTCTGATAATATTGTTCTGAGTTTCGCAAATATTTGGTTACTGTTTTGTTGTTATCTATTTTTGAGAAATTAGAGCGCTATAAATTGATATGAATGAATACAAAGCTAGAACGTGGATAAGAGATGTAATTTGAAATCTGGTATTAGTTTTGATAAATTGATTATATTGGATGTTTGTGCGTACCTATATAATTTATATATGAAATATAGGCTATGTATACATGCAATCATACAGAATATGCTTATGCAAGATTTCTATACCTCATAAATTAATTTGCACTACAAAATCGCATCACGTCTGCGGCAAAAGATCTTTTCAGCAATTTCGAATACAAATGGCATGCTTAATAGTAGTATGCTTATTCTCCACAACATAGAAGCCTTTGATTGATTACAGGCTGACAGAGTTTCTGTATAAACCAATTATAAAACTACTTCATGTCAACGTCAAAGGTTTTGCATGAGACATGGGATATGTTATATGGAGGAAAATGTTAAAAAATGTATGAAAAGTTGAAGATAGATGATGGTTTATGAAGCTCTTGCATACAGTCCATTTACTAGGAAAAAATACATATACATGTACATATAAATTATACGTATATAAATATATATATATATATATATATATATATATAGTTGACGAAAACCTTTACCTTAAAACCAAAGCTTCATGAGGGGAGACTCTAGAATGTTATTCTTTCCTTTCTTTTATCAATAAATGAGTTTGTGTGCGTATATATGTATACATTTAATACTTTTTTTCATTATATTTTTAGATTAGCACATAATGAAAATTCGTATTTGATTCTTCATTAGTATATAATAGTTCATATTAGATTTAAATATTTTGTATTTGTACGGATATGAATAATTCTAATTTTTTAATAACACTGATAATTTTTACTCGCAGATTAGTTAGAGAGATGCCTAATGTAAACCTGCTAATGTTTTTTTACTTCTAATTTAAATGCACTAACATTTGTGCCAGTATACCCTTACTTTTTTCATCCAAAATATACAAAATTGCATATTTTAAAATTTATAAGCAATTATTTGGAATTAATGTATTATTTTAAACGAAACATGTGCAACCGTATGTCAACCTGACGCAAAAATGAATATTGCAAAATTGGAATAGTTTTTTTTACGATGCGAAAAGCTCTGAATGTTTACATTTTTATACACACAAAAAATCACATGGTCGTATATCATATTCATGTATGAAGAGAATTAATCAAAGGTGGAATGCATGAAAAATTTGAATAAAAATGACTTCGTATAATCTATGATTTCTATAGCTTGTACAAGATAAACCCTATTAATTTCCCTATTTGGTATCATTTTGGTCACCACTTAATAATGATTCATTTCAGGGCTAGAATTTAGACTATGTTGCACTTGCGATTTGCAATTTAGAATCTATTATTATCTATCCACGTTTTTATCTCAATATTTATTAACGATTCGATTTCCACAGGAAATTGATCCATCTCTTGTTATGCAGAAATATATGATATATTTTTTATTCAATAATCCGTCAATTTATTTCTTCAAATACGATTTTCAGAGAGTTATGCTCGTGACAAAACGTATAATATTCAAATATGAGGTGTCAGAATTGGGATACGCCATGTAACAAATCATCTTCTATTGGGAATATGGGAAATGATATAAGTCCTTTCGGATAAAAATATCTGTTTCCGATTTGTTTCATCCATCATTTTATACTAATCTCAAAAAAGAACAAAAATCTATATGGAGTATTCGATTATTCCCTCTTCGACTGCATTTTGCAATGTAAGCGTTATAGGAAATGGCGCAAGTTGTGGGAGATCTGGCGAGCAATTGTGAAAATATTATAAAATGCAATAAAATTATACATTTTTGGAAAAAAAAACTAACTTGTAATTGAATATAGGTCAATACTATATTTTTTTTTTGTATATTTAACATAGAGTACAAGAAAATTTGATAATTTAACATATTTCCTTGGCTGAATATATGAAACTCATCAATTTTTTTGAAATGTGATTTTCAAGTGAAACTAATAACTGAAGATCTTCTAAATTTAACCAAAAAATTTGCAGAAAATAGACACTGAAATTAAAGTTTGAATCTGAATTGCATTATTCATACTATCTAAACTAAATGAACTATATCACAACACATAACTTATATCTATCGAACATAACTATCGAACTATGTTCAGTTAAATTCTCAGGTAATTCCTGAGATAGAAATATTTATTTTTAGCAATTTTTCTAAAATTTGTCATTATGTCCTATTTTACTCCGTAGGTTGGGTACAAAGTATGTATTTTTAGTTTCAAAGGAAATTTAAAAAATATCAGCTAAATTATTAAACTAAAGTTTTATGTCAATATTTTTACAAAGATTTAACCCTATACAACATTTATTTGGTATCGTCAGAAATATTAATCAGCAGAGTTAGAATAACTATTAATGTAATTGATCTTATATAAAATGGCTTTTTTTAAACTTATTTATTAATTAGTTTTTCTTCTTTACACCTTTACCGGGAAAAAGGTTTAGTTGATTCATTTTACCCCACCTACAAGTGACCTTTCCTGTTATAGAGCTTATATAAAAACAGCTGCTGAATCAAACTTAAAATTAACAATATATCTTATTAAACAATTGAATAACATATACTTGATATCGAGATTTTGTAAACTAAACCAGGGTGCTCATAACCCAAAAACCAGACAACGAAAGAAAATACTTTTTAAACATGGACGTTTATCTTTTGATAGCGCCGTCGTAAGAACTAACGTGATGGCAAGATATACATCTTTTACCCTCTACATTCAAATATTGTTTTTGAAAAAATCATAACTTTATTTGTTTTTGAGATATTGTTGGTTGATCTTTCTACCCTCGGACCTTTAGGCCCTGCTCTATCCTATAATCTGTATACTTCGAATTTAAAAAAATTGAGATATTAATATTAGCTTTAATATATTTAAATAATAATCAATATTAAATTCGAAAAGAATTATTTTTCATCATGAAGATTTTTTAGAAAAAATAAGAATGCAAATAGAAATGCACAAAGATTATCATTGAATTTCATCGATTGGTCGAAATCTAGGTTTTTATATTTATTATTTATCTTCATTAAATTAGTGAATAGCGACGAATAAAACTTCAATAAGTTGATAATAATCTCATATATGTAATAATAACTTCAGCTCTTCTTCTAAAAACAATACCAAGAGTCCGGAACTCCCATGAGGGAAACCGTTCTTTCCACCTCGATTTTCACGACACGACGCGCTGCAGTTGATGGTGTTTACATATGGCCAGTGATCGTGAAGTGGCGTATTCTGCTCACGTTTTCAAATTCAAACAGCTTTTCACGTTAAAAATAAACCAATTTTTCCTATCACTTGCAGAGACATCAAAAGAGATATTTGTTTTGTGAGTCAACTTCTTGTTGACATGACTCTTTAAACATCGTTAGCTGTGGAAGTATTTTGATGAAGTAGGTATTTGTCTTGTGGAAACGACTTCTTTGATATTATTAAAGGAAAGATACGAGTATTTTTGATTAGCCTTTTTTATATTCATGTGATCAATTCTTATATGATCAACTTAATATTCTGTTGG